CTCAGATGGACACCACTTCAAAGGCAGACTCTGCTGCAGGTGCTGCCTCTGGAGTGAAGCATTTAGTAACTAGGGACCTTTTGAAGACTTAATAGTTAAAAGCTGAAGCTCTTCAAGTACCTGGAAGAATTATTTCATTATTTGTCAGCAGATCAGAGAGTATGTGTTTCTATTTTTGTATCCTTCTTTCTACGACTGATATTTTAAATATAAGCTTATATTTGCCTCCCCAATGTATGTAGCACCCTGCCTCACACACCTTTTGGTCCCAGGGTAGGAAAGGCACCAGACCACTGTCTCATGAAGTTAACTGGATCCTAGGTAAGAACAGGGTGGTTGCACAAGACTTGGTAGTGTTAAGAGAAGGAGGGAATTAAACTGTCCTCACTCGCATGGGAAAGCTGGGACTGAATTTTCCCAGTGCAAGGGAAGGAACCGTGATGGCTTTTGCTCGGAAGGGCTAAGAAGTAATGTCACTGGTAGGAAGCTGATGAAAAAAACAAATCCAAACCCAAACCTAAACACAAAGTCTGGAGTGGGCAGAGTTCAGTAGTGGAATCCAGCTGGTGGAACATCAAGGTCTTATTCTCTTATTCTGGCTTTTCTTCAGATTTTAACTCACTCCAATCTGGAGGTTTTCCTGGTCCTATGGTCCTGGAGAAACTCCTCTGACAGGAACAGCTGGGGATCCTACTGAGCAGGCTTCTGTAGGGACCACCCATCTCTCTGCCATCACCAGACTTCTCACTCCAGGCCTTTGTCAAATCCCTCTGTGTACTGACAGCTTCCCCACGCAGGGTTTGTTCTCTCGTTTCTCTTCTTGTAGATGGCCGTACGCAAAGACTGCTGAGACCGTGAAGGAGCTGGGCTGCAGGCATGTGAACAAACACGTCACGGAAGTTCACGTGGATGTGAAGAACAAGCTGGTGACCACCAGCGCCTTCATGTGCAACGCCCCCATTCATGAGATCTACGATGGCATCGGAGAAATGGTCAGAGAAGTGGTCAGACTTGCCTGAATGACACAGAGCCGCAGAATCCATCTCCTCTGGAGCGCAGGCACTGAGCCCCAGATAACATTCTTCAGTATGGGGGTTCAAACACAGCCGCTGCCTTTGGTTTTGAGTGGCTGAGGAGTTGTGTGGGTCATGTCAGCCATGGCACGTGCATATCATGTGTCACCAGGAACTGGTCCCTTTCTGAGATTCCTTACACATCCATCTTTGCCAGCACTTCAAACCTCCCCACATACTTCCACCTCACAGAAATGTGGCAAAAGGAAGGAACGTGGTTCTGCTGCTGAATAAAACCTGATGCTTTTTACATGGCCTGAATTCTGCTTTCATGGTTTGCTGTTTACTCTGGATTAGGACATGCTTTCAGTGCCACTGCTCCAGACAATGAGTGGGGAAAACAATACAAGGAGTGACCAGCAACAAACCCCACTTGTTTTGCTGGGATTCGTCAGAACCCAGACTTGGGCATGAACGTGATGGGTGAAAGCAGAATCAGACCAATGATGTTAGCATCCAGGTCTGGTGGGAAGAGGTTAAATTCTTCCCTTGTATTAACAGAAGGTCTGCTATGATAGCACAGAGTATTTTGGATGCAGCCTTCCATACTGCTCCTAGGCAGAATCATAGGGTGTTGTGAGCGGGAAGGGACCCACCAGGATGATGGAGTCCAACTCCTGTCCCTGCACAGGACAATCCCAACATTCACACCATGTCCCTGAGGGCCTTGGCCAAATGCTGCTGGAATCTTGTCAGGCTTGGTGCCATGAGCACCTCCCTGGGGAGCCTGTTCCAGTGCTCCACCACCCTCTGGGTGCCTCAAGAACCTTTTCCTCATGGCCAACCTCACCCTCCCCTGCCACATCTTCCTGCCATTTCCCCCGGTCTTGAGGTCTGGGCATCCCAGAAAAAGCGATGCAATCTCCAGTCCCTTCCTGTCTCTTGGAAAAATCCTGGCAAACAACCTGGAAACACCAATTCTGCATTGCAACAGGGAGAGATGAGATCCCCATCTAGCTGAAAGCCGAACAGCGAGCTGTGAGCTGGCTGGGCAACAGCAAAGTCTGGCAAGTAGAAGGCAGCAAAAATAACCCGGGGTAGCAGAGTTCAGATAACAGGCCAGGCACGGGTTCTTAAAGCCAGGGGGAACCAAATCCTCATGACATTCGCCCTTAACATATTTATAAATCCCATTGTAAAGCCAACACTGCCAAGTCCACCACTGAACCCAGCACAGTGACTTACACTGGGCTGACGCAGACCCGACCTGAAGACGCTGTGGTCTTTGGTAGCTCATTCTCACAGTTAATCAATATCATTTCAGATAAGCCATGCTTTATTTCTCATGCTTTATTTTTTTCTTTTATTTCATTCTCTTTCAGTTGAAGAGCTTAATTCCAGCCCCTGGATGCTGACAGGTTTGTCTCTGTTAGGTTGAAGTGCTTTTTAGAGGGTAGCTGGTATGATATAGGTACTTATTATACAGGTCATATCACAGAATCATTACAGATGGAGCTGTTTAATTCTCTCAGTGTGGGACATTTTCTAAGCCAGTAACTATTTTCTGAGGCTTTTCTCAGTGAACTCTTCAGGCTCTTTACATTCTTTTCAAAACACCGGCATATTTTTGCACTGTCACCAACATGGCAAGATCCCTTGAGATGACACTGGTGGTCAGAGCGGGGAGAAATTTACCCACACGCTGCAGTGATGCTGCAAAGAGGGGTTCAAACACATCTGGCAGCGACAGAACAGCCCAGAGCAGCACAATACAACAACTATACCCAGGTTTCTCATGAAAATGTAGCTTATCCAGTCACTCTTCTTGGTGTTACTTTTTCCCACTGATTCTCCTACCAATCATTTTCACCCTGCTGGCCATAACCTTTTGCAAAGGTGTACAAGGCTCCAAGACATAAAGCACCAGCCAGTTTTGGGAGACTCGCTGCCAGGAAGAAGAGGGAAATGTTTCCCACCACACAAAAAATCCACTGTTCCCTTGGTCTTTCGACAATCCCCTATGGAGAACTGGGATGAGTATCCCAACCACAGAGTAATGTTCAGTCTGAATTAGCATTTCATTAGGAGGGAAGCACAAATCCATGGGAGACCAGGCCTCAGAGCTGTACTTTTCTCCCACACTGTTACTTCTAAAGGGGAATCCACAGTTTAAACTATTCATTACCTTATAGAAAGTCATTGTTCCCAAACCCTTGAACTCTTGTGTCTTTTGCATAATGCAGGAGTTCAGGAAAGGCATGGAAGTTCCTGCCATAAGCACTGGTTTTTGAGAGCTACACAGGATTTTCTGAGGTTAAGATTTATCAGGTAGGCTGGAAAGTTATGGCATGTAAATACAACAGGGAGAATTCCAGGGACTGGCTGAAGAATTTGAAATAATCTCTAACTTTAGATCCAACCCACACAGACACAAAACTAGTAACAACACTGTTTGCTGGGACGCAGAAAACAGCTTCCACTAGTGGAGCAAGAAAATCAACCCCAAAGACGAAACATTAACAATATTTTGGTGTGTTTTGCCACCCAAGAAAGGCAACAAAGAAGAAATAGGGAAGCTGGGGAAAAGTGGCATCGTAACTAGTTGTTTCCATGCTGTCCCAGGGGATTTCTCTGTATTTTTGTATACTTCTTTCCACAACTCTGACAGCTTAAAATAAGACACTTTATTTTAAATACAATATTATATTTGCAGCCACTGAATATTCCTGCAAACATACAGAGCTTTAATCAGCAGCACTGGTAACTTTCCTCTTCGTTTACAAAGAGATTTCTTTAAAGGTGCAAACTGAATAGCAGTAAGTTAAATTGCAGCAGTCTGTTTATTTACTTTTTTTTTTTCAGTTTAAAGAACATACTAAAAAAGGGGGAGGGGATAACCACTGTAAGACAGAGTATAAAAACCTGATCTCTGCAAATATGTCATATGAAGAGTTCACTGTAGCTGAGCCCAAACCAAGACATTAAACAAAAAACTTCAACTGCTGGGAAACAGAGATTTCCACTACGTGGATTCGAGTCCTCTCTTTACCAAACCATAATCATTTGACACGTGGTTTTTAGTCAGAGAAGGATCTGAATACTGTCACTGAAAAATGAGATTTGTGTGTTGAAAACAAAGAGTGGAAACATCTTACCAGCACAAACAAGCAACCAGGTTGCTACATGTAAACAGGTTAGCAGGTGGTAACTGTTCACCAACACAAGTTTAAGATCATCTACTTAAACAAGAAACCCCTATTGACCTGTATTTTCTGCTATCTCAAAAGAAAAGACTATAAAAAAATGAGGCACCTACCAAATGTATATACACACGTGCAAAAATAAAGACAATTCTGTTTCAGTAAAGGCTGGTCTTCTTCATGATCCGCAGGAATTCCTGCTCGTTCACCTCCCCATCCCCATCTCTATCTGCTTCATCGATCATCTCCTGAAAGACAGTTGTATTCAGAAATTAGATGCAGATTAGACTAGGACTAGAATTATTAGATTAATTCAGAATTATAATCAGTTTTTAATAAATTGTATTGGAGGGGACAGTGTTAGCTCAACGTCAGACCTATGCTACAGAATATCTACTAAACTAGACGCTAACATGTTTTTATAGATATATTTATACAAAAATCTGTACAGAAAATGTTGTATTATAGGAACTGTCCTGGAAGAAACAAAGTGCTCAGAGCAGAGTTGTTCCTTTTACCACACTGTAACTCCATAAAACTGCAATTCTACTGACACAATTTCAACAGCCATGTGTGCTCAACCCATCTCTGATCTCAGAACCTACTTCCCAATCACAAATTGACAAAAGCTCTTCCATTCCTGACAGAGAGGACAGATTTTTCTAACAGTTCAAGAGGAAAGATCCCACAGGATGCTAGAGGACAGGACCTAAAACTGAGACAGCTGCCTTTAACTCACAACTGACCCTGAGAGATGGAGATTCCCATTCCTTACTCTTGCTGCTGGTGAGACCAGTTGGAGAGATGGCCCAGCTCTCCAGACAGAAGGAACACAGACTGTGACTATTGACATGGGTTTTAAACAGCAGACAGTGAGTGTTTGTGTGTGATATGGTTTCATATTCCAGGTACAAACCTGCAGCTCTTCATCTGTGAGATTTTCCCCCAGTTCTTTGGCAACACGTTTGAGGTTTTTGAAAGAGATTTTGCCAGTTTCATCGTCATCAAAGAGCTTGAAAGCTTTGAGAATCTCCTCTTTGGAATCTTTTTCAGCCTTAAAGAAGTAAAGAATAAGTTAAAGGAAAAAAAAGTAGTGGTTACATTGTAGGTAACACTCAAAGTTATAAAAGACCAGCATCAGAGAGACTGAGAAACTCTCTGAAGAGTGAATTTAAAGAAGCCCAGCCAGCAGAAAGTCTGTGTACAAAAGCTGAAGGCAGAGACACAGTGATGCTTCCTGAACCTCAGGGTTTCAGGGTATTTCTTTTCCTTTCAGAGCTGGCCAGATGTCTTTGGGATTTAACTACCAGGATCTTCCACTGTTAAATATTTGGTTTTACTCAACGTGTTTTAAGATTTTTACAACCAGAGATTTCACCTGTAAAGATCTTAAAATTCAAGAAAAGAAAATACAGGGTATTGCTACACAGGCATCCTCCTGACAGCTTTCTGCAGGCCAGAGCTGGTTCCATCTGGGATAAAAATCTTCATCCCAGTTTTTCCCTTGTCCTTAAACACACAGAAAACTGACTGTTAAAGAAACTTCCTAATGATGTAATTATTTCAGCTTTACCTTGCAAAATGAGATAGGGTAGCCCCTGCCTCACCATTCTAACCCTCATCTATTTTGTTGTTAAGATTAAAATAGTGCTTTCATCTTCCACTAAAACCACGTGGAGATGAAAGGTCCTCAGCCATTTTCAAAGTTGTTTTTCACTTTGACTTTTAAAATTCACATACCATTTTCTGGGTCATCACTCCCAAGAAATCACTGAAGGTTATTTTTCCTGTTCCTTCCTTATCGATATCTGATATCATC